ACGCCATGAGCACCTGCCATGTCACGTGTTGGCAGCCCCTCCCCATCCTTCATCCTCCTCTGCCGATCAAACCTCTGCTGCTCCCTCCAGACTGGCGATCTTGGACGTGAATGCCTTGTTTCCTGCTCGTATCTGTGCGCAGCACACCTCACACGCGCGCCCTCAGGCAAGAAGGTTGAACAAGACCTTTTGGAACTTGGTCTCAGCAGGATTCTTGATGATGTTCTCGATGTAAGTTTGCATGAGCTTCAGCGCTTGCACAACTTCTTCGTTGGTCTTCCCGAGGTCAAGGCTCTTACCTGCATGCTCGTAAGACACCAACCCGTGGCCGACATGTCAGCCCAGCCACTCACTCCTGAGGTTGTTGACAGCCTCCTCTACTGCGAGCTCCCCCTCGCCTCCTCTCAGCCCAACGATCCTCAGGCTCGGCAGCCCCGCACGCAGCATGTCCGATCGCATCCCTGTCATCGAAGGCGCGCCAGTCAGCCTTGGCGACCTCAGTCCCGTCACTTTCGCAGCGTTGCCGAGCGGCATTCGCCCAGCGTCTGCCATGGGTGTCAGGCAAACCTCGAGATGCCGGAAGAACTATCGTCACCGATCGAGCAGAAACCGCATACCAGCACGGTAAGTTTGAAGATCCTCGGCAAACTCGTCAACATCTGCAAGGAGTCGTCAGCCTCGCTTCCCACAACCTAGCTGATGCGCCCCACAAACGCGGGATCCCTGTCGGGAGGCAAGATATAGGATCTCTGTGTGAACGGCTATCTAGAGGGGGGAGCAGGAGGATCGGTGAATGAGAGGACTGCAATGCACTTGTGAAGCAGCTTGATGGTATTCAAACCCACTGCCTTGGACAGTTCATGGTGCTGGCGACTCGACGACACGTCAAACTTAGAGCACGACGGCTTCACAGAGTCTACACAGTCGTGTAGAGAGACAGACAAGGGAGCAACAACTCAGACGTGCTGAGGAAGTCTACAAGAATGCAGTCTACCATGCTCTCTCTCCTTCCTGCCTGCCTCCTCTCCCTCCACCTTGCCCCAGCCCGCTCCCAACATTTCACAAGGAGGCCGCACCGGTACAGGTGTTTGCTGTAGGGGTTCCTAAATGATACAAAGTTTAAACTTTATTACTTAAAGTTCAAATGTAAAGTTACAATTCGTACCAAAATTATCAAAATATTCGCATGCTCTGTCCCCGTTGGATCCGCCCCTGTGTCATAATTCAAACAAGCCCGCCCCAGATATGTGTGGTCCTCATCCAGCACATTTTTTGACTATAACTTGACTACAAACCTTTACAAACACTTTCTATAGTCAAAATTCAACCAACTTGAATATTGACTATGGTCATGGTTGGAGTTATATAGTCAATTGATGAATAGTCTCCCGCCACCGCCGCCATTCCGCCAAAGCCGGCGGGAAGCGCGGGTCATGCAGTGATCCTACTACTGCTACTGTGAGCAGCCTGACTGATCCCCGTCTATTACAACTACTGCTACTGTGAGCAGCATGACTGAGACGAAACGAGTCCTGTTGCTTTCCTACTTCTCTGTCAATTTTCTCATCTCCAGTGTTGTTGATGAAATTTTGCATGCCCTCGTTTTGGACCTTCTCTGCACCACACTACCTCTATTTGCCCTGTCTGCATCTGATTCTTTCCCTGCTGATTCTTTGCACTCTCTCATCACTAATACTGCTTTACAGAGCACATTCTTCAGTATCACTTAGCGAGCAGATGTCTATCAAGTCATTTTTCAACCCACTTAACTCTACGTATATTTTGTGATCCACAAGCAAGAATGCCTTAGCTTACCTCCAGGGATGTCACTACCCCTCCGACAAAGAGAGCGAGGAAGGACACGACTGTAGTTGATGATGTATATCCGACTGCGAGCTTGTGCGATGCTTATCAAACACGACAGGGTCCCGAACCTAAGGCTCTTGAGTTGAATTCCACGAAAGACGATCCTGTGGGTCATGCCAGAGGCTACATTTCCAACTACTTCGGTGGCTGATACTGACACAGGGAGCTTCACCTTCTTCAAATCATTCGAATCAAGAAACTCCTGTAAAAGCAGATGGGGTACATGCATCTTATTTGATTTATTACTCGTTGAAAGCTCAATCCTGCAAACAGACAAATACAACAAATTCATCCTTGACTGAAGAGCAGCTTGAAAGGATTCGCTTAAACAGAGAAGCTGCTCTCGCTCGGAAGAAAGACAAAGAGGTTGCTTGAAGTTTGCTGCGAATGACATATCAATGCTAAAACCTGACACAGGTCTCCATCAACATGCCCAGCAAAGATCCGAAAGACCTCATTGAATCAGCTCTGATCATGCCAGAGAGCTGGAAGGACAAGCTTAAGTCTCAACTTGAGAAGGACTACTACAAGTCCTTGAACTCCTTCTACTGCCAGGAGTTGAAATCAGGGCACACAATTTATCCGCCGACGAACCAAATTTTCACTGCGTTCTATCACTGTCCCTTCGACAAAGTTTCAGTTGTGATTGTCGGTCAAGACCCGTATCATGGTCCCAAGCAAGCGCATGGAATGGCTTTTTCAGTTCAGAAAGGTGTTCCCCCTCCCCCGAGCTTGCAGAACATGTTCAAAGAGCTGACTGAGGATCCAAAACTGGAATTCAAAAGACCAAATCATGGGTTAGACATTCAATCCTGCTGTACCGTACAGTTCTGTGACATGTTGTATGCACAGGTGCCTGACACGGTGGGCTGATCAGGGGGTCTTGCTATTGAACACATGCTTGACTGTTCGTTCTGGACAAGCGAACTCGCACCAAGGGAGGGGTTGGGAAAAGTTCACGGATGCTGTCATTTCGGAGTTGAACAAGAACCACAAGGGACTGGTATTCTTGCTCTGGGGCAAGCCAGCAGGTATGCAGATCACACCTGTTTGTATGCAAGGGGTTTCTGACCAGATTCCAACTTTCAGAAAAGAAATGCCAGTCTGTTGACCAGAAGAAGCATTTTGTGCTCAAAACGACTCACCCTTCCCCTTTATCTGCGCACAGAGGATTCCTTGGATGCAGGTCATTGCGATGAAATGACTTGATGGTGTTGTAACCTTTTCCGTTGTTAGGCACTTTTCCCAATGCAACGATCTGCTCGCCAAGATGGGAAAGCCAACGATTGACTGGCAGATCTAAGGGAGGCTGTTACACACAAATAGTTGATTGCAAATGCAAACTGCTATGTTGCAGAGCTTGCTATGACAACAAAACTTGTGGCCTTTTCCTACACTCATAAAGGCGACCCCCCAGCACCCCCTCCCTTTGCTGTACCCTTTTTTGACCAATATGCCACCCCGTCCTCATATCGACTCTTTTCCCTATCGAAATTAAGTCTTTTCGATATATCCGTTGTTTTGCGATATATCCGTTGTATCTCCAGATATTTCGAAAAGAGATCTTTTGGAACCTATCCCGCAGGAGTAAATACCCGAACTTCACTGAGTAGACACACCCACCCCCTTTTCAAGAGTGGGCGTATCGGTACTGAAAGTAGAGACAAGATACCCCTCCTTTCTCATCGAAACACCCACCCTTTCTCGTACATCGTATTTCATGTCCGTGCGGCTTGAAATAGGAATATGAAGAAGTTGCGGCATGGGAGCGGGGAATGGCCGCAGGCGGGGAAAGGACGACAACTGGATTCCATGAGAAAACGTTTCGTAATGCACTCTCTGCATGCAGTACACTGTGAGCAATAAGGTTGCAAGGGTTGGAGTGAAATGTTTTCAAGTCGGCGGGCCATGTCTCGCTCGGATGAGACTCTGTACCACGTACATGTAGTAGAACAATTTTATTGTAACAAGGATTGAATCGAAAATACAGTGTTATCTTTGTGATATGCTTCTGTCTTTTTTTGTAGTAGCAACCGATGAGAAATCCAGAAATCAGAAGTATACACAAGATCAAATATACAATACTATCCGAATGAACAAGAAAATCATGAAAATGACTCATGAAAATGACTCATGAACACGACTATCAATTCTTCTTCTTGAAGTCTGATAAGACGTGCTCCATCGCCTCGTTCATGAGTGAGCTCTCATATCGCTCAGAATATTCTTCGTATCTGTCCGACTTGGACTCAAACACCCTCTCTGAAAGTATCGCCCCACTGATCTGCAGCTCACTCTCACTGTTCGTTTTCATCAAAATTTCTTCGAAGTCTGGCTGCACGATCGTCGTCGGTGATTTTTGCTCCTTCTCTTTATATGTGGCTGCGCCCTGATTTTCAATAGGCGAAGCGCATTGCAATCCTTTCCACATACACCTCTGACATGGCCGGGATTCTTGACATTTCGATTTCGATTTTCGACAAGCCTCGCAAGCTTTCTTTGCTGGGTGTCGTCTTGCCGACAGCCATCTGCGCATTTTGTACAAATTTCCGGGATCATTTGTTCTCGGGATCTGGTTTCCAAACAATTCAGCCGATCTCGACGCATCAGAATCCTTATCTGTTTGAAATTTATCATCAACGTCCTCAATCTTGTCATCTTTGTTGGTCATTTCCAATTCTTGAACGTTTGCCTTGAAGTGCCCCTGTGAAATAAAGAAAGATGGATGCAAATCAAGAAATCGTCCGCTTGATGTCGATGATAGCAGATACAAGCTGGTTACAACAACTATTCAGCTATGTTCATCAACATCTTGGCAGCCCTGACGTTATAGTTTGTGTTTGATCCGACCGTCTTGTATGTGCTTGTATCCACGCCAATGCTCCTTGACGCCTCACTATACGGCCTTGGGTTCTCAACAATGTATCTCGCACTGTTGTTTCCCTCTTTGTCCACGTTCTCACCGATTCACCTTTCCGTCCTCCTGTTTGTCTTCACTCGTGTCGGTGGCTTCCTCCCTCTCTCCCTGTCTATGAACTCTCTCGTCGTCACCCCAAGGACCCTGTCTCCTGTTGTCTCTATCCCTCTTACTCCTTCCCCTTCCTCCCCCCTATCTCCTGTGCTGACAACGTGTCGGATCTATCCGCTCGTAGTAAACCTTCACGCACGGCAACCTCCGGTGACCCAAATCTCTGAGCGAAATTTCAAAATAATGATAAATCAATTGACTGTTTTCCTGTGAAATTGAAAAATGCGAGGGCTTATTCCAAGAAGGCCCTTTAAGGCCTCCAGAGACAGCTCGTGATCAGTGGCGGAAGGTGAGTGAAATCGAGTCTTTTCATGGAAATGAGGTCTCAGACCGATGCGTCTCTTCTCCGCCTTGCAATGGCCTCATCCCCGCTATGATCTACTCTAAGCGCCCCTTCCATGAATCTGCTCGGCATGTCCGCCCACCCCCACCCCCTCATTTCCGTTCTTTTCATGACACATCAGCACTGTAGTCAGTGACGGTCAGCTCCATGGATCTGCTCCTAACGTGGCGCCCGGTACTCAAGAGCAGGTCGCTGCTATTCTGAGTCTCATCCCTGGATCGCTCTGAATTTCCATCATCGCCGCCCCCCGTGCCCAGAACGTGACAAGGGCAATCATCAATTTCCAATCAACAAATTTTTGGAGTAATCATTTTCCAATCAACGAAAGTTTGCAGTAATCATTTTCCAATCAACTTTTTGAAACAATAATCATTTTCCAATCAAAACTCCCCGTTTCGTACCGTTGCACGTATCAGAAACGGTCGTAACCGTATACTTTTGCAATCATTTTCCAATCAAAATCAACTTTCAAACTTTCAACTCTCCGTTTTGGAACTTTACCCCACCCCTCCACCCCCCTTTAAACCCTCCGTTCGGACCCCTCCCCATGACCCACCCCTCGAAGCCCACAG